CCCCCTCCCACCCACCAGAGCTGTCTGCCTGTTCTCTACCTATAAGTCTGTCTCTGTTTTGCTTGTTAGTTCAGTTTGTTCATTAGAGTCCATATGTGAGTGAAATCATATGGTACTTGTCTTTCTCTGACTGGCTTGTTTCACTTAGCACAATGTTCTCCAGGTCCATCCATGCTGTTACACAGGGTAAACTTTTTCCCCTTTTTTTGGCCAAGTAGTATTCCATTGTGTAAATGTACCATAGCTGTTTTATCCACTCGTCTACTGAATGACATTCGGGCTGCTTCTAATTCTTGGCTATTGTAAATAACACAATGAACGTAGGGTGCACAAATTCTTTTGAATTAGTGTTTTGGTTTTCTTTGGATAAATTCCCAGAAGTGGAGTTGCTGGGTCATAAGGCTGTTAGATTTTTATTTTTTTGAGGTAACTATACTGCTTTCTACAGTGGCTGCACCAATGTGGATTCCTACCAACAGTGCATAAGGGTTCCCTTTTCTCTACATCCTCACCAACACTTGTTTGTTGATTTATTTTTAATAGCCATTCTGGCAGATGTGAGATGATATCTCATTGTGGTTTTAATTTGCATTTCTCTAAAGATTAGTGACTTTGATCATCTTTTCATATGTCTATTTGCCAGATATCTGTATGTCCCCGTTGGAGAAGTGTCTATTTAGGTCCTTTGCCCATTTTTCAATTGGATTGTTTGGTGTGTTTTTTTGTTATTTTTATAAATTCTTTTATAAATTTTTCATATTAACCCCCTATTAGATGTATTGGTGAATATATTCTCCCATTCAGAGGGTTGTGTCTGTATTTTGTGGAAAGTTTCCTTTGCTGTGCAAAAATTTTTCAGTTTGATGTAGTCCCATATGTTTTTGTTGTTGTTTTGTTTTGTTTCCCTTGCCTGAGGAGATATGTCAGAAAAAATACTGTTACAAGAAATGTCAGAGATTTTACTGCCTGTTTCCTTCTAGGATTTTTATGGTTTTGAGTTCAACATTTAAGTCTTTAATCCATTTTGAGTTTATTTTTGTGTGTGGTGTAAGAAGGTGATCTAGTTTCATTTTTTTGCATGTATCTGTCCAATTTCCCCAACACCATTTATTGAATAAACTACCTTTAGTCCATTGTGTGTTTTTGACTCATTGTCAAATATTAACTCTAAAGGTGTGGGTTTATTTTTGGGCTCTCTGTTCTGTTCCATTGATCTATATGTCTGTTTTTATACCAGTACTATGCTGTTTTGATTACTGTGGCCTTGCAGTATATAGTTTGATATCAGGTAGCGTCATTCTTCTAACTTTGTTCTTTTTCTCAAGATTGCTGTGGCTATTTGGGGTCTTTTGTGGTTCCATATATATTTTTGGAATATTTGTTCTAGTTCTTTGGAATACACCATTGGTATCTTGATAGGAATTGCATGGAATCTGTAGATTGCTTTGGGTAGTATGGACATTTTAATGATATTAATTCTTCCTACCCATGAACATGGAAGATGCTTCCATTTACTTGTATCTTCTTCAGTTTATTTCTTCAGTGTCATATAATTTTCCAAGTACAGGTCTTTTACATTCTTCGTTACATTTATTGCTAGGTATTTTATTCTTTTCGAAACAATTGTGAATGGGATTGTTTTTTTAGTTTCCCTTTCTGATAGTTCATTATTGGTGTATAAAAATAGAACTGATTTCTGGATATTTATTTTGTATCCTGCTACTTTACTGAATTCCTTGATCAGTTCTAATGTTTTTTGATGGAGTCTTTAGGCTTTTCTCTGTACAGCATCATGTCATCTGCAAATAATGACAGTTTTACTTCTTTCTTTTGAATTTGTATACCTTTTATTTTTTCTTCTTGTCTGATTGCTGTGGTTAGGACTTCCAGTATTATGTTGAATAAGAGTGATGAAAGCAGACATCCCAGTCTTGTTCCTGATCTTAAGAGAAACACTTTTAGTTTTTGCCCATTAAGTATGATTTTGGCTATGGGTTTGTCATATATGGCCTTTATTACATTGAGTTATGTTCCCTCTATTCCTACTTTTGTTGAGAGTTTTTATCATAAAGGGATGCTGGATTTTATCAAATGCTTTTTCTGCATCTATTCATATGATCATTTGGATTTTATCTTTCATTTTCTTTATGTGGTGTATCACATTTATTTTTTGCAGATATTGTACCAACCGTGCATTCCTGGAATAAATTCCATTTGGTCATTGTGTATGATCTTTTTAATGTATTGCTGGATTCAGTTTGCTAGTATTTTGTTGAGGATTTTAGCATCTATGTTCATCAGGGATATTGGCCTGTAATTTTCTTTCTTTGTAGTGTCTTTATCTGGTTTTGGAATTAGGATAATGCTAGCTTTGTAAAATTAGCTTGGGAGTCTTCCATGTGTGGGATTCTTTAGAATACTTAGACCTGTAGCCGTAAGTCAAATAAATGATCTTTCAAATAAAATTAAAGAGAGATACTAATTCGGAATCAGGTTTCTAATTTTGTGAATTTTAGTGGGATGTTGAGGCCTCTTTCTAATGCCATTATTCTCCCTAACTTGATGTTGTTATTTTTAAGCCTTGATTGAGAGCTGTTGTAGAATCCTTCAATATAGAAAAATATGCATTAAAAGGGGTTATTTTCATTCACTTTATCCAACATTTACATTTTACAAGTAAAAATGTTACTGATTGTGATAGGTGTCTGTAGGTATGTAATTGAAAGGCACAACAGATTTTCATAAATGTATAAATAATAAAACTCACTAGAAGTAACTCTTTCAAATGCTGTGCTAGCACAAAATTTAAATTATGAATTTATTATTCAAAGATCACTTGTCTTAAATATAACATTTTAATTTATATGGTAAGGATGTTGACTCCCCTCCCATTTCCCCTTTAGTTCTTTCCATATATTTGTAACAAATTCTTCATATGAGAATCCCTTTATTGAACTATCTAACATGGGTTCTGTGTTCTTTACTGTCCTTCACTGACACAGTTTTATGTTATTTTTACCTAGAATCTTACCATGTGACTCTATCCTTACCTCTGATCTTTTATCTTTTTTTTCAGTTCCACAAAAGTTTATTGAATATTTACTACTCACATTGGAAACCATCAATTAAGAAATTTGAGATAGATGGCCTCTTAAGATTCTTTATATAAATTTTTAGCATTCTATATGTGGAAGTGTTAATTAACTATAGGATAATTTAGGAGAAAGACTGCAATTACAGATATTCCATATTTACCAACCAGTGGTTTAGTAACTATATTTTATTTGAAAATTGTCTAAATTATAGTATTTTCACCTGAAAGGAATAATTATCACAAGCTAAAAGTGATTTTTCCTTCCTTGTACCAAAACAAGAAAAACCTTGGCTCTCATCACACCATAGTTGTGTTATACTTTTCCTTGTGTATGTGTTTTATCTCTTGTTATAGTTAATAACATTCATGTTTTTCAATATAATTAGCATAATACTTTAATAGAAGATATTAAGAGACATTAATGAATATATAGATCATCAACCTATAAATGAAAGTAACACAATTTTGAAATAAACATTAATAAACACAGCAATCTTATATATAATGCTTTATTTTCTTATATTTTAATTTCTACTAGTTTCTACCGTCAGGTTTGCAATGCAGACCATCTGCGCATTCTGCATGTGATATTTCTGAAAGTTGTAATGGAAGCTCAGGAGCCTGTCCTCCTGATATAACTATACTCAATGGACGTGAATGTAACAAAAATTATACGTGTTATGATGGACAATGCCATGATCTTGATGCACGTTGTGAATCAATATTTGGAAAAGGTAATACTGTTTTGTAACATCTGAATAGTTTGTCTTCAATATTTTATTAACATTACCAAGACAGTGGGCAATTATATATAATTTATATTTCATATGTTTATATTTGTTATATATAAATATATATAAATTTAAATTCTTTATTCTGTTTAACGTGTATATTTTTATTTTTTAAAATTTTATTAAGGTATAATTGAGAACTAAAATGCATATACTTATGGTATGTGATTTGATGTTTTGAAGTTCATATATATTGTGAAATAATTGCCACAATTTAGCTAGTTAACATGTCCATTACATATATATATCTATGTAATACTGGCCTCATAGAATGTAATACTGGTCACATGGAGTATATATATGTATTTATATAAATGAGATTGCTGTATTATAAGGCAGTTTATTTTTAATTTTTGAGGAGTCTATATGCTGTTTTCCGTAAGAGTTGTACTAATTTTATTTCCATCAGCAGTGTACAAAAATTTCCTTTCTCCACATTCTTGCTAAAGGTTATATATTTTTTGATAATAGTCATCCTAAAATGTGTGAGTTGTGCTTTTGATTTGCATTTCCATGATGATTAGTGATGTTGCGCACCTTTTCATATATCTGATGACTTCTTTAATGTCTTTCTTTGAGAAATGTCTCATGAGGTCCTTTGCTATTTTAAAATTCCATTATTTGTTTTTGCTATGGAATTATGAGTAACTTATATTTTGGAGATTAACCCCTTATCAGATATATGATTTGCAAATATTTTCTCTTATTCTATGTTTCCTTTTCACTGTATTGATTGTTTCATTTGCTGAGAAGTCTTTCAGTTTAATGCAGCCCCACTTATCTATTTTTGCATTAGCTGTCTGTTTTTTTGTATCATATTCAAAACATTATGGCTTGTACCGCTGTACAAGACCTTTTTTCTTATGTTTTCTTCTAGGAGTTTTATAGTTTTAGGTCTCACGTTTAAGTCTCCCTCACCCCCACCTTTATTGAGATATAGTTGACATATAACATTGTGTAAGTTTAGGTGTACAATGTGTTGATTTGATTCTCATATATTGTAAAGTGATTAACACCATAACATTAGCTAATACTTCCATTGTGTCACATAATTACCATTTTTTTGTGAGTGTGGTGAAAACATTCAAAATTTACACTCTTAACAACCTTCAACTATGTAATATACTTTCCAGTATATAATTTCAAGTACATAATAGACATTATGCTTTACATTAAATTCTTAGAACTTATTAATCTTATAATTGGAAGTTTGTACCTTTGATGAACATCTCTCCTTTTCTCCCATCTCCCAGCCCAGGGTAACTACCACTCTATTCTCTGTTTCTGTGAGTTTGGTGTTTTTAGATTCTACATATAAGTGATATAGAGTTTTTGTCTTTCCCTTTCTGACTTATTTCACTTAGCCTAATGCCTACACATTTTATTCATGTCGCTGCAAACGGTAGGATTCCCTTCTTTCACATAACTGAAAATATTCCACTGCATGTATGTATGCATATATCACATTTTCTTTGCCAGTTCTTCCATTCAGGGAACTGTAGGGTTCCCTTTTCTCCACATCCTTGCCAGCACTTGTCGTTTGTTGATTTGTTGAGGTAGCCATTCTGACAGTTGTGAAATCAACTTAGGTGGTTTTAATATTTTGCCTATTACAAATAATGCTTCAGTGAACATGGGTGTGCAGATAACTCTTGAGATCATGTTTTCATTGCCTTTGGATATGAAGTGTATTGGAAGTGGGATTGTAGGATCATATGTTAGTTATATTTTTAAACTCTTTGAGGAACCTCCATACTGTTATTCATAGTTTCTGTGCCAGATTACATTTCCACCAACAGTGCACATGTTCCATTTCCCCCATATCCTTGCCAACTTTTACTATCTTGACTCTTAAAACAAAATTTATCTTTAGTGTTGAAAGTATTACCCTTTTTTCTGCCCCATTGATCACCTCCACCATGCATCTGCCCCACCGCCAGGCCCTCCCCATACTATTGTCTGTGTCCATGGGTTATGCATTTATGCATATAAGTTCTTTGATTAATCTCTCTCCACCCACTCCCCAACCCTTACCTTTCTTCTGAGATTCCTTAGTCTGGTCCCTGCTTCTATGTCTCTGGATCTATTTTGTTTATCATTTTATTTTGTTAATTAGATTCCACATATGAGTGAGATCAGATGTTACTTCTCTTTCTCTGACTGGCTTATTTTGCTTAGCATAATACTCTCTAGTTCCATCCATGCTTTCCCAAAGGGTAAGATATCCTTCTTTTTTACAGCTTCATAGTATTCCATGGTGTAAATGTCCCACAGCTTTTTTATCCACTCATCTACGGATGGGCACTTGGGCTGTCTCCAGACCTTACCTATTGTAAATTGTGCTGCTATGAACATAGTGCATAAGTTCTTTGCGATTGGTGTTTGGGGTTCCTTAGGATATATTCCTAGAAATGGAATCACTGGGTCAAATGGCAGGTCAATTTTTAATCTTTTGAGGAAACTCCATACTGCTTTCTATAGTGGCTGCTCCAGTCTGCATTTCCACCAGCAGTGTACCAGGGTTCCCTTTTCTCCGCATCCTTGCCAGCACTTGTCGTTTGTTGATTTGTAGATGGGAGCCATTCTGACAGGCGTGAAGTGATACTTCATTGTGGTTTTAATTTGCATCTCTCTGATGATTAGTGACTTTGAGCATTTTTTCATATGTCTTTTGTTCCCCTGTATGTCCGCTTTGGAGACGTGTCTATTTAGGTCCTTTGCCCATTTTTAAATTGGATTCTCTTCCTTTTGTTAAGTTTTATGAGTTCCATATATATTTTGGATATTAAACCTTTATCAGAGGTGTCATTGGCAAATATATTCTCCCATACATTGGGCTCTCTTCGTTTTGTTGATGGTTTCTTTTGCTGTGCAGAGGCTTGTTATTTTGGTGTAGCCCCTTTGTTTATTTTCTCCTTTGTTTCTCTTGCCCTAGGAGACGTATTGGCAAACATATTGCTATGAGAGATGTCTGAGGTGTTACTGCCTATGTTTTCTTATAGGATTTTTATGGTTTCACAACTTACATTTAAGTCTTTTATCCATTTGGAGTTTATTTTTGTGTATAGTGTTAAGTTGGTGGTCTAGTTTCATTTTATTTCATGTACCTGGCCAATTTTCCCAACACCATTTATTAAAGAGACTGTCTTTACTCCATTGTATGCCTTTGCCTCCTTTGTCAAATATTAATTAAATGTAGTGACTTGGGTCAATTTCTGGGTTCTGTTCTGTTCCAATGGTCTATATGTTTGTTCTTTTGCCAGTACCAGGCTGTTTTGATTACAGCGGTTTTGTAGTATAACTTGATATCTGGTATTGTGAGCCCTCCAACTTTGTTCTTTCTCAAGATTGCCGGGGCTATTCAGGGTCTTTTTGGTTCCATATAAATTTTTGAAGTGTTTGTTCTAGATCTGTTAAATATGCTATTGGTATTTTATTAGATATTGCATTGAATTTATAGATTGCTTTGATTAGTATGAACATTTTAATGATGTTAATCCTTGCAATCCATGAACACGGTATATTTTTCCACTTGCTTATATCTTCCTCTATTTCTTTTTGCAACATCCTGAGGTTTTCCGAGGACAGTTCTTTTACCTCCTTGGTTAAGTTTATTCCTAAGTATCTTAATTGTTTTTAGTGCAGTGGTAAATGGGGTTATTTTTTTTCAGTTTCTCTTTCTTATAGTTCATTATTGGTATATAAAATTGCCATCAATTTCTGGGTGTTAGTTTTGTATCCAGCTATCTTGCAAAATTCATTTATTAAAAGTAGTAGTTTCTTGGTGGAGTTTTAGGATTTTTCTATGTACAATATCAGGTCATCTTCAAATAATGACAGTTTTACTTCTTCCTTTCCAATTTGGATTTCTTTTATGTTTTTTTCTTGTCTGATTGCTGTGGATAGGACTTCCAGTACTATGTTGAATAAGACTGTTGAAAGTGGACATCTCTGTCTTTTTCCTGTTCTTAGGGAAAATGCTTTTAGTTTTTGCCCATTAAGTATGATGTTGGCTGTAGGTTTGTCATATATGGCTTTTATTATGTTGAGGTATGATCCCTCTATTCCCACTTTGCTGAGAGTTTTTATCAAAAATGGGTGTTGGATTTTGTCAAATGCTTTTTCTGCTCTGTTGATACGATCTTGTGGTTTTTGTCTTTCAGTTTGTTTATGTGATCTATCACATTTATTGATTTGCGAGTGTTGTACCAGCTTTGCATCCCTGGAATAAATCCCACTGAGTCATGATGCATGATCTTAATATATTGCTGTATCCAATTTGCTAATATTTTCTTGAGGACATTAGAATCTGTGTTCGTCAGGGGTATTGGCCTGTAATTCTCTTTGTAGTGTCGTTATCTGGTTTTGGAGTTAGGCTAATAATGCTGGCCTGANTCAGGTAAATTTGCCTGTAATTCTCTTTCTTTGTAGTGTCGTTATCTGGTTTTGGAATTAGGCTAATGCTGGCCTGATAAAAAGAGCTCGGAAGTGTTCCTTTCTCTTGGATGTTTTGGAATAGTTTGAGGAGGATAGGTGTTAGTTCTTTGAATGTTTGGCAAACCACCCTTGTGAAGCCATCCAGGCCAGGGCCTTTGTGTGATCGGAGTTTTTTGATTACTGCTTCAACTTCATCAGTGGTTATCACCTTTTCAGGTTTTCTGACTCTTCCTTATTGAGTTTTGGCAGCTTGTACTTCTCTAGGAATTTGTCCATTTCCTCCAGGTTGTCCAGCTTGGTGGTGTATAGTTGTTCACAGTATTTTCTTACAATCCTTTGTATTTCTGTTGGGTGAGTTGTTACTTCACCTCTTTCAGTTCTGATTTTATTTGGGTCCTCTCTGTTTGTTTCTTGATGAGTCTGACTAAAGGTTCATCAATCTTGTGTATCTTTTCAAAGAATCAGATCTTGGCATCATTGATTGTATTTTTTTAATTTTTTAGTCT